AAAACAAGCAGAAATCTCTTCGGTCAAAAAGGATCACCGCCAAAGTCTCAAGCCCTCGGAAAAGAAACCCTGTAAAAAGAGAGTTGGAGGCAAAACTAGCTGCCTCATGAATAAGTAAGTGGCTGTGGATCAAAGTGGTGGCTGACATGCGTGAAAACTGAATTACGCGCGGCAGCATGCGCAAACAGCAAGGATTTTCCGTAGAGCGGCTGGTATGTGTGGCAGGGTGAAACAAGGAGGGTGAGAAGTAGGCCTGTGAAGGTGAAGGGAGAGTGTAGGCGGTCAGTTGTAGGCCCGGAGGTGTGGCGTTGGCTGACCATGCGAGGCCCTTCGCAATCGCATTGTGGGGGTGGGTGACCCAGCAACGGGCATTGTGGTGGCAGACCGCTCCGTGGTTCTGTTGAAGTGAGGGCGGCATGTTCTTCTCCTCCTTGTGTAAATTTGGTGCCCGCCCCCCATGCCAGGAGGGAAACAATCACGGAATGGGCGTTCTTTGCCATATTCCATGTGTTGTAGAGAATGCGGGCGTGTTCACTGGTGTCAGGTTGGTGTTGCTGGGTGATGCGCACGCCTTGCGCGAAGAAGCCGGGATTGTGGGAACAGTGGAGAGTGCTAGGGAGGAAGCGGCCTTGTTGTATAATGTTGGTGATGTTGCCCACACAGCCAGTGTGGCCGGCGTTGATGTGGACAATTTCAGGGGAGGTGGAAGTGGCGCGAGTGGCTGGAGGTGGAAAACGTTGGTGTGCTTTGTGAGAGAGTGTGGGGGTGGAGATGTGGTTGAAGTGAAAAAGGTCATATTGTTGTGACGTGGGGTTCCACTTGATATGTGTGAGTTGACGGCAATCACACACGTCCTTGTAAGTGATGCCGCTGTCCAGCAGGAGGCGGGCAATGTAGGCATGGTGAGGTTTGTTTGGAGTATCGAATTGTGCGCGTGATAGTCCATCCAAATTTCGAGCTGCTCTTGTGGAGTTTTCTGGCTGAAATGTGGTGGTGCTTTCCATTGGTTGAGGACACGGCGAACATTGGGGTGGTTGGGGTAGTTGTCTTGTGGATTGGCTGAGGAAGGGTCGTGGTGTAAAAATGCCGTGTTGGGAACGGCTTCTCGACAAAGAGCGGCTGCGTGAATATGAAGAGTATGTGTAGGAGGATGAGGGATGGCGGCGTGAAGAGGTGTGGGTGTGAGAACTGCGCGGAGTTCTGTGGCTCGGGTGACGATCAGATTGGCCTCTGCAGTGGCGATTTCGACGTCGTCGGTGGCCATGGTGTCGGTGGCGGCGATGCCGGTGGTGTGTTGGGTGAGAAGGTGGTGGGTCTGTGGGATGTGTGGAGTCAGCTGCATCTGATCGAGCTGAGCCGGCTGGAGTGGATGGTGGTGGCTTGGCGGTGTCGGTCGTGGCGTCAGTGGAAGGTTGTGATGGAAGAGCTGGAGGTCCGGTCGAATCCGGTGGAATTGGTGCTGGAGCTGTGGCTGGTGCTGTTGGTGCGGATGTGGCGGCAGTAGCTAGTGTAGAAGGGTCTGGTGGTGTCGGGTCTTTATCGGTGGTGGTGGCGTGTTCCGGTTGTAAGACTGGTAGGAAAGCTGAAAAAGGATGCTGTTGCCAAACACCTTGATGTGGATCCCACGAGAGAGTGGTAGTGAATTGGGTAGGCTGGGTGGACATGCTTCGTTCCAACCATCAAATTTCAAGCGTTGCGGTTCTGGCATGCAACAATCCTGCCGTTTCGGCCATGACTTGACTGTCTGGCGCATGCATTGCGCACATTTTGGACGCCCAAGGCCCAAGACCATCATATAAGCCCTGCAACGCAGCCCCCCTCGCGTCAGGGAGCAGAACTGCCCCCACCCATGCTTCGTTCTACTGACCCGGAGCAGCCTGCAATGATGCTTGTGATGCAACTATGTCCTCGTAACTAGCATATCAGCCGCGCAAGATCACTCCACTCGCACAACGACGTCCCCGAAGCATCTCTCGCTCCCCTCCCTCTTCCTTCCGCAGCCCCGTCCACACCCACACACCTCCCATCTCGCGCCCCCCACTCTTCCCCCCCCCCCGCCCCATCCACGCACCCATGCACCTCCCGTCTCGCTCCCCTCCCTTCCTTCCCCAGCGCCGCGCGCGCCTCCCATCTCGCCCTTCCCCAGCCCCGTCCACACACCGTCTCGCTCCCCTCCCTTCCATCCCCAGCCCCGTCCACACCCACGCACCTCCCATCTCTCGCTCCCCTGTGTGGGAAAGCTATAGGGCAGGAAAGGCAGGCGCTGAGGGTGGTGGTAACATTGGCGTCAGTGTTGGCTGAAACTGAGGTGGGACTGTACGTGGCCAGGCTGGTTGTGGCGGTTGTGGCCATGCTGGTTGTGGCGGCATGGTGGCAGGAGGGTAGTGTGTGATCGCTGGTGGTAGATGCTGTGGAATGGGATAGACTGGTAGTGGCTGAGCTTGTTGAGGTGGTGGTGCATAGGGATATGGCCAAGGGTACTGCATCGAGATAAAGTCCTCTGTTGGAAATGTCGGTGGCAGCTGCAGGTATGGCGCCAGCGCAGCGGATCGGTGAAGATTAGAAGGTAGAAAGTGGAATTCTGAGGAAAGAAAGTCCTGTTGTCGAAGGCATAAGAAGGAAAGGAGTTGAAAAGGTAGCAAGTCACATGAAAAGTGGTTGTGAACATCGCATTCATTGATCTTGGAAGCGGTCTTGAAACTGAACACTGGCAGCGAAAGAAATTGGAATCCATCAAATGAGAATACAAGTGGAGAAAAGTCTTGGGCCCGACGGCATCGTGTTTTGAGAATCCTGAAAAAGGCCAATTCAGTGAGGAGAATCCAACGAATGGAGGAAAGGTGGAATCCGTTACACGGTAGTCCGGAGTGAAAACAGCGCCTCCTTGCGGAGGATCACACCCAGCGCCCAAGTGGGACGACTGAGCGAGTCACACTCTGACATTGGTTTGCAGTTAACTCAGTTCCCAGGTTGAAGAAGGTGAGAGAAACGCACGGTGAAAAGGTCGGCGAGAACAGTATGGTTTAAGCTTGTTTGCAATTTGATTCGAAAACGATCGGACACTCAGCGCGGCTGCAAGTCTGCTGCAAGTCTGCGGTGGGAAAAGGTTTTGGGGTATATCGTGCAAGGACCATGGAAACAAAAAGCAGAAGAGTAGACCGCGTGGTCAAAAGCTCAAAAAATTGTCGCAGGTACGTGAGTCGAGCGTCCTCGACTCATATCACGGGAAACGTGCAGCGTCTTCGTTGGTCGCTGACTGCACGAATCCCCAGCGACCCCCTGCTTGACAGTGGCGGAGGTAGGTGGAACTCTTAGTTACAGAGGTTGACACACAAACACGAACAATTCATGAACTCGCTCGAGAGGAGACGGTGCAAAGCTTACGTTTTGGTGAGATGTGCGGTGCAGTCGAACATGAAAAAGGAGGAGCAGCAAAGGATGCAGGTGCAGTGGTGAGGGATGCCATTCAGCGCATTGACGCAGAGATTAAAGAGCTTGAATCGGAGATCCTCAAAAAAGAACGCTGGGAATGGAGGCAGACCAAGCGCGTTCATGTTGTTGACCAGATGGACGGTGAAATGGTGGTCTGCAACAAGGAGGAGGAGATGGAATTGGGAGGAAGAGGCGAGTGAGTGAAACCGGCAAGGTGCTTAAAACCTTTACTTCTAGTCAACAGATTTATTGAGGATTGATGGTGGCCAGTGCAACATTCGCTTGCTCGATAGCGCGCATTTGCTTAAACATCTGCACAAAAGAATAACACCGTTTTTTGAAAAGTGAGGACATGTGAGAAATGACGGACTTTGCAGTACTATACCTGCTGTTCTTGTCTATTTGCCCTGAGGCACTGTAGAGATCAGAGCAGATGACGGTAGATCTCAGAAGCACACTGCGGAGCACAATGTTTGGGGCCAGGTCTTGGTTGGGGCGGAGGCAAGCGGTTGCTTGTGCCGAGCTGTGTCAAACATTTACAACAAGATCTACCAATTGCAGTTGCACATATATAATCATATATAGTAATATTTGAGTATCTTGGTTGCCAGGTTCTGATTCTGAAGGGTTGTGCGGTTGTTTTCTTTGTTATATACTGATCCATGTGATGCTGGCGGTCCAGGAAGAGAATGCCCGGCGTGACGAACTCATCAAGATGAGGATGAAATTGCTCGGAGACAATTGAGCAGGTCAGCTTGTAGTTTGTCACAGGCGGCCAACAAGATCTAAGTTTCGAATCTTGGACTAGGAAAGATTGTATTTGTGTCTACCTGCCTCTGCGTGTCCGGTGGCTTGTAGGAGGTTGGCTCTTTCAGTCTGGTTTGCTGTCATGCAATGCTCAACATCGTTTTTCAAAGAAGCTGTGCCAACTGTGCTTCTATTTTGCATGCTCACGACCATGGACAAGCAGGGGCTTTGCGTGCATGCTCCGTGTACAGTGGGAGACTCATAGCTTGAATCCAGCAATACATCAACTTTAATGTCCAATGTTTTGATCTGCGTACTTCTAATGGATTCGAAAGTGTGAATGGTAATGCTGTAAGTGGTGCCCTGATGCCTCAACTGCCCAGCATTTTGGTGCTGTACCAGTGGCAATATATATTGCTTTTCCCAGAAAAAGGTACAACGGCTTTGATACGGATTTTTGTCCCAAGCTGATGGTGTTTTTTTTCATTTGTGCGGCATTGCAATGTACGGATCAAGGGTATTTCCAACATAGATTTAGCATGGTGTACATCGACTATATGTCGATGAATCCTGTTTCACCGCAGAATGTGTCTGATGGATCTTTGAACTTGATCCATCCAAGCATACTCGGCAGATCTTGGCATAAGCTGCTGTGGTGCCAGATGCAGTGGCGTCAGCGGCCGCATGCCTTCACCTTCTCTCTTCTCTGGAGACAAAATGGGAGCAACCTGTGACTGTGGGGAGTGGCAACTGCTTAAAGCCTGCACAAGGACACGATGTGTAAGACGTTAACATGTGAAAACAATCAATGTGATGTTGAGGCCACGTGCAACCAGACATGAGCGCGGAGGTTCAGAACGAGTGTTCACTTGTGTTAGTCACTGCTTCATCCTCCACTTGAAGCCTCACCTGTCACCATTTCCAGGGCATTGAAAGGCTACAACTTCTCATCATTACCTGTGGCCAGGCAAGGCTGAATGAGTGGCCAGCTTGAACTGCGCTACACTTTTGTCAAAAAGCGAAGCGAGCGCTTGCAGAGCGGGTGACTTGCTCTGATTCAGCTGGCAAGTTTTGGTGTCCAAGGAGCAAGAGTCGCATGCAAAGTGTTGAGTAAATTAGCATTGCTGCGCTGGCTTTTCTGGCGACGTGTGGGCTCAGATTTTAGAGGAAAACATAATACAACAAGGTATTTCAGAACTCAACCACAGAACACACCTGGATCTTTAGACTTTAGAGTCTGTAGAGATTCCTTGCAGGGGCGGATCTTTCTAGCTTTCGAATCTTGCCAGAGAATTGTGAGCCTTCCCCTCAGAGCGGAGCCTGTTTTGCGATCAAACCTTCCACTAAACTTAGACTATTTAGACTGTGTTATTGCTCGTGGTCTATCATGCATGTCTGTTCGATTTTGCTTGTTTTTATCACAGAGTGAGAGCGCTTTCGACATTGGTACTTGCTAGATCTTAATAGCTTAAGTTTCCCTAAAATTCAGGAACCAGATCATTGGTGTCAGCGCTTCTTCAAGGAAGCTCCCCCCGCCTTCAGGTGGGGGGAGCTTCCTTGAAGAAGCATGAGCTATCCTGCGTCCTGTCTAGTATCTTACCAGTGCCTTACTGAATTAAGTAGGGACGTGGGGGGAGGTCGGCTTTAAAAAACGATCCTCAGACGGATCAATGCCCAGCCAGCATCATTGAGCAGCGTCTAAAGGCTAGTGCACTGCTGCTGCAATTCTAGCGAGCTGATTGCTAGGCTGCTAGGCCAAAAGCTGAAACTGAGAAGCTGCTTTCACCCCGCTTTCAAAAGGATACCTTTCTATATGATTTACTGTGGTTGCCCTCTGAGCAATCAACCACTGTCACACTCGTCTCACGAGCCATGAGCCCTATCAAATCTTCCAGTTGCTGGCTTGTTTGACTTTGTCTCAGGAATCTCAAGACATCCAATCTCATTCCAACCAGCTGACCCCACATCACCAATGCGTTTCGGGATCGAATAGATTGCACACCGAGCATCCTGGACAATCTTGGTTGCGTTCCCCTTAACGACCTTGCCTTTGGCCTTGTCACTTTCCTGAAGTCCCTATGAGAGAGAAGCACTGAGAGAGCATATGTTTATTTTTTTAACGATGTTGCTATCACATCAGCTTCCGGCTTCCGCCCAGAGAACCCACAAGCAGTGGCAAAAAAAATCACTGCAATGATTGGTCAGACTCTAAGGCTTGCCTTTGAAAGTGCGCTCGCAGTAAGCAAGAGCAAGGTCCATCCAGGACAGTCGATAGATGTGACGGTCGTATTATGAGCTTGTATACATAGGCGTTTGTGTGCAAGCCTAGCCAATGGTGAACGGGACTGTGGCTAAGTGCAACTTCTCAGGACAATGTTGCCAGTTTTCAAGGATGATCCTCATCTCTGCTCGCATGCTCGGGCCTGGGTTGCCGTGCAAAGAAATCATCAAACTTCTCGGCAAGAGCTTGGGGGCGATGAACCTCAATTAATACTGATTTGGCATGATTTGGCAACCCTTCTTCATGACAAGGAATCTCGCGTCATGCACCGCATCAATGCTTTCCGTGGCTGGAAGGAAGAGTGCATAGCTTAGGTATACCAAGCATTTGTTTGTCACAAGTACTGAGGACGGATTTCAGGGCAGACTTGCTAACCTGTGTTCTAAGGTTCAGGAGGAATGAGGGCGGAATTGATCAATTTGCTGAAGGATACAATACCTTCGGATTTCAGAGGCACTTGCACACGATGAGAGTCAGACATAACTATATATATCCTTGGTATTCCTTTGTGGCTTTGAAAATTTTATGCAAACAGCAACCTTACGCAAACAAGAGAATAGAAAAGATATGAAGAAAGTCAGGTGAGGCCCCTTTCCTTGGCCTTCCTTTTTTCATCTCTTGCTTTCTTCAACTAGAACTAGTCACGATGAGGCATGAGTTGGAGCACAAGTGGACATTCACAGAGTGGCTCCCAGAAGCGCGAAAAGCGTTTCTCATTGGCGACTTCAACAATTGGGAGCCTTGACTCAAATAAGTATATAGTTTCAAACATTTTTCTGCAACATCGAGTTAGTGCCTTGAAGCTCAGCCTGATCCCTTTGCTTGGAACCTTTGTTTGAGCACACACTGGATGAAAGGAGAACACGCATCCCTTGCAACCAGGCCTGCCGGTTGCCAAATGAATTGGTAGGTTGAAAGATAGAATAAATAAGCTCAGCCACCCAGAGAAGCAGGTTGTCCTTTTCTCCTTTGCATTTTTGTGGAGTTGTGGGTTTAGATTTGAGCTGGCCAGCAAGGCTGTAGGCATTTGTTTGTGGGTGTTTGTTGGAGGCTTTCCCCAACAGGCTTTTGGCAAGTCACACGGCGAGGCTAATGTACTTTGCCTGAATAGAATTCCCTTTGTCACGGGCACAGCACAACGACGTGGCACAAGTCCGGCATAAGCCAGTACGGAGCATCTGGCGGGAGGTATATTCTACCTATGTATATATATATATGTATACATATCTATAGATTATACTGTGCTATTCTGTTTATTAGTATTATTACTATTACTATCATTGTACAACAAGGCACGCAAGGAATTAAGGCGCCAGGAGAACTGCTTGCCTTCGCAACTGCCCAAGATGGATACGGCAAACATCATAGAGAAAGGCATCGAGCCAAGTGTAGAATTGCTGCCATTTTAAAGACATGGGCTATTTGTCATTCGCGCTTGTAGGTGTTACCGGTATGATGCAGCTAGCAAAGATACTGCCCGTGACGGATTTGAAGAGGCTTCTGAAGGCAAAGCTGATTTTCCTGATTGTGTCCTAGAAACCCACAACAGGTTGAAGCAAGCCGGCTGAGCTATTGTGGCGCAACCAAACCTAGGAGCCATGCCCCATGCCATTTGGGCTCAACTCCAACGTGTGGACCACGTGAAAGATGTCCCCAGCAAAAAGAGCACAAGAAATTGCAAACTAAAATCAGGCCACTTCAACAAGATGTGACCTTCAATTCAATTGTGATTTGAAGTTTGAAGGTTTGAACTCCCTGCCAATTCATCTCATTCAACCGTCGGACCTTTGCCAAGAATATGACATGCATCAGCCACCATTCACAAATGGAGCTGCCCATGTCGGGCACTTGTGGGTGGAATTTGTGCAACCCACTTGTTTCAGAACACCCTGACTGACATCATGAATAAGATTCGGAATGATATCTCTTTTCTCTCAACAACCAATGAATCGCACCACCTTTCCATACATTTCCAACAATGTGTCATTTCATGTGCCTGAGTGCTACATTACAATTGACTATTTCCCTGGGTCCCTCTCGGTGCATCAAGCACTCTCTGCTTGGCCACGCCATCCGTTCTTTGGCTTTCGTGCCTACCTACCGTTCAATTTATCACTGCTTACGCGGACTGCATTGGTGACCAACCAAGCTGTGCCTCAGTGTCAGACCATAACACGGAAGAAGGAACACAAGAGCTACCGTTCTATTCTTGCATCAGAGAAAGCCATGTGGCTAGCATACTTACGGGCCACACAACACAGGCTTACCGTCCTACACAGATAGACGAGTTTGTTGCCAGTTGATCTAGCAGTTAGCACGAAGCTTTTTGCACCGTTTCTTGTGCTGGCTGTGCGTGGACTTTGAGCTTAAGGAGTTCCTCGTACGCCAAGGCCCGGCAAAACCAGTAAAACTGCAAAACGGTAAAAACCTCCACACAGCCAGTGTCTGCGATAAAGCGGTAAACCCGTAAAACGGTTAAAAGCGCAAAAACAATAAAATTATTCAGCCAATCTCGTCAGCTATCACTCTTTTCTTCTCTTTAAATGGTGGTTCCAGTGGTTCCCACATTTGCATCGCGTGGGCAAACTCGTCTTCAAGTGAATCTCAAGTGAACCTTTAGTAGCTAGTAAATCATTGGCGCACATGGCCAGCCAAACAAAATGCTAAATGAAACATGTTGCTTCCTGTGGTCCTTTATGGATGGGCTTGTTGAAGTAAACACAGTCTCATTCTCATCCGACAGCTGGGAAGTGAAGACTGCAATAGAAGAATCACATGTGAATGCAATGCTCTGTTGTTTGAAACGTGGCATCACCCTCGTCCGCAGCACGCTCTGCCTCCAAACGGCGCTGAGCATAAGGCGGGCGGAAGTTTCGATAGAAGCCAAGCGTCACCCTTGATCCACTCCACCCACGCTGCCTTTGAGTTTTGATTTCAGAACTGCGTTCGCCGGCTCGGCTATATGAACGCCAAGTCCTTGACGCAACCTGGCTTGTACTTCGTATGAATTCGCGGGGCCTGCTGCTCTAAGTACCGCTTGCCGATGTTGCTTTGCTCAGAGCTCTGCTATGGCTTTGTTGGAGATATCCGACGCGTCCGCGCTTGCGGACCCATGTGCAAGATGGTCTTGCAGCCACGCTCCAGAATCACCGGACGCTGACAACGCGCCGCATAGTTTAATATTTTCTTCAGGCAACGTGCGCGCCTTTGCCAAGTAAATTTCCTTGACTCCTCCAGATTCGCCCAGTGACCGAATAAACTCAGACTCAGTTACTTCAGCTTTGTGTGAAATGCCACGGCTTTCAAGGATTCCAGAGTTCATGCGAACCGATTGCATGGTTGAAGGCGTCAACTTGTCATTTTGGTTTCCCCTGGCTTCCAATCGCAAGGCATTGTGAACATCTTCAACGATCTTGTTATCAGGGAATGTTTGGATCAATGTCTGCAGCAAGTGTTCTCCAGCTTCCTTATATGGTTCTGCCCCAGTACCACGCTGGTCTTGTAGCCATATCCTCGCAGTCGCCTGTGGTCATAGCCAATGCTTTCAAATGCATCCATCATAAGTCTTGCCGGATGGTTGACTGCAAAGCAAAAATTTTCTTTGAGCTGCTGAGCAACAACACTTTCCTTCAAACTTGGATCATTGGCAACATCATCCTCCCATTTCAGAAGGCATTCGTGATGCTTCCTCAAAAGCTCCAGGGGTGTCTTGCAAATTTCATTCTCAGGAGAGAGCGCTCCAGCATATTGCTCTGGGGGCAGGGCGTGCCCAACAGCCAAAGACCATGTCCGCCGTGCAAGCAACTGCGTAGCCAAGCCAAATATTTTGAGCGCTGACAGGGAACCATTTTCACAATTGAACTTTGATACCTCCTCACTGCAAAGAACCTTTGCAACACCATTGAGATGGCGTAGTCAAGTGCGTGGAACTGGGTTTTGACCTCCTTCACCTGCCTCGTATACCAGCTCCACAAGGGCATGGGTGTGAAGCTCAGGAGTCATGATCTTGACCGCCAGTGGGAATGCTCCTGCAGTTTGTTTGAGCAATTGCCAATTTTCACTTTCATTGTTTTTTCGTTTGGACTCAGAGGCCAGCATCTCCCTGTCATTTGTCTCATTGGATTTCTCCTCTTCATTTGGCACAGAGCCCTTCGACTTGAAATGGTCAGTGAGCACCATCTTGAATGTGTGCCAATCACCCAGCTGCTCCTCTGCACACTGGTTCCAACTGAACCATCGGGACGTTTTCGCCACTGATCCTTCCTTAAGGAATTTGCGGACTCAAAGGCAATATTCCATAATGCATCTGCATCAACGCCGCCACTGTCCCAGTCTTCAAAAATCACCAAATCTGAAGCAACGAGGGGCGCAAAGTCCTGGAAGATCTCACTTGCTGGAGACCTAGGTGGAGTCCACATCATTGAATATTTCAACAGCAAAAAGCACAAGAATCAGATAAATTACAGTGACCAACAAATCACCATGACAACAAGTTGCTCCCAGCTTCGAACAAGTTGCTTTGTCGCAAGAAATGCTTCAACCATATCTTTCTTTTGCTCAGCAATAGCCGAGGGTCTCAGTGGCTCCAGATTGATGAAGTTGGAAATTTCACTTGGGGAGAGCCTGCTTTCATTGCTGACCTTCAACTACCTATTCTTCAAGACTTTCTTGAGCTTGATAAGTCTAGCAACAATTCTTTGGCAACATTATAACGCTGGTGTCCAACGCTGGTCAAAGTCTTTCCAGAAATGCAGGGCTGGTGCTTGGTTGACACGCTCACTGCCTTGGTGCTGTGCCGTTGGAAGACCCGTGCAGAGACAGCGCATGAATCCCAGTTTGACTTTGTGGAGTACTTTGCAGGCCATGGCAACCTTAGCCGGGAATGAATGCATCAAAAACGGGTGGTTTGGGATGGCCATGGATATCCTGTACAGCGAGGAACATCATGATTTGACAAAACCTTCTGGACTGCAATTGGCCTTGGAGGGCATTTTCAGCTGCGAGATGCATGCCTTGAATTGGATGGCCACGAAGTGCTCTTCGTTTGTGCCCTTGCGCCAATGTCAAGCTCAAAGGCACGAGGGAAATGTCTTTTTTGGGAGATTGCTCCAAACAATTCGCGCGCGATGGGAATGCCTTGATGGATGTGACTGCTTTGCTCTACTTGCTTGCTTTCCTGGTGGGCAATGTTGCAGTTGTGGAGCAGCCTCAGGGAAGTACACTGCCTCTGTGCGCGAATCTTTCACTGGTATTGAAGTTCTCAAACGCTCGCGTGACAAGTACATATGGCGCTGCTTTTGGGCAGGCTTCATTGAAGCCATATCAACTTTGGTCGAACAGCAGAAGAATTGAACAAACTGGCAGTTACCACTTTGGCAGTTGTCACGATGGCCGGTTCACTGGCAAAAAAGAGTGCTTGCAGCAGTCAGAAGTGTACGCGCGCGAGTTTGGTGCGTCAATTGTTTCCGGTTGTTCCTATCAGGTACAACAGCAAGTAGGCAACCTTGCATTGCTGATGGGCACAGTGCCTAGTTTGCCAATTCTTGCAGATGGGCATATAGTGCTTAATTTGCCAACTCAGTCAGGCAAGCCTGCTGTCTAACACAGTACCATTTCAATGGCGCAGATATGCGCATGAAGGCACTGTTGCAAAGTGTTAATGGGCACTCGGCTAATGGCACAGAGCCCTTCAACATTCTTTGTGTAGCCTGACAAATTAATGAGTGCAAGCAAAAAGTTAGTTGGCTTGCTGGCGACTTTTGCGTTGGCTTCTCAGTGCCCTTTTTGCGTATTTGGGGTGTGCTGCAGTCAGGCTACTTGGAGAGAGTCAGTCATGTCTTCTGTATCATGCGCTAAAGTTGCAAAATTGAGGAATGAATGGAGAGGTAGCTTTGTGTTTTGCATGGTGTTGCTGACTGAGGCCACTGACGATGCAGCAATTGGCCAATGGTGACGCTGTCTTGATTGACTGAAAAGAAAGTCGCAATGAATTGCTGTTGCTAAGGGTTTACTGTGTCTCAGTTGCTCAGCCTGCATTCTTTTCACATTGAAGTAGTCACTGTCAGTGAGCCATGGCCATGACGGAAGCACAGCGCCGATTTTTCAAAAAGCTCGATTTCAACCACATGGTGGGTTCGATAAAGGGAAATGCTTGATGAGTTGGATGAACGGGACCCCCGAACGCATGGAATGCTGCTTGCCTGAATCAAACATGACAAATGTATAATTGTGTATTCTGCTTTCCCTATTGTTCTCGCAACTGCTTAGGGTTTGCGGGCTGTGCAGCTTGCTGGTCCGAGAAGTTCGACCTCCTCAGCAGCTCGCCCAACAAGTCTTAAAGCTGCGTCGCGTTTGCGCGTTTGTTTGACAGTGTTTAGTTTAGTTTATTCAATAGTTCAACAGTGAGGTTGAGCGCTGACACTGACGCATCAAGAAGAAGAAGAAGCAGCAGAAGTCGGGGCAGGGACCGTGGCAGAGGACCCGAGCTGCTGCAGATTCCAATGATGCCGAAGAGCACTGCGCTAATCAGACAGTGGCTGATGGATGTTGTCAGCGCCGCCATTTGTCGAGATCGAAAGTCGAAAGATTTGGTAGACACCGCCTTGGATCGAAGCATTTGCAGCGCCTACATCCTGGAAAGCGCAAAACGATGGATGGGTGTGTTCAGAGCGATAGTGACCTGTTGTGAGTCTATTATGGCTTGTGAGGTTTGTTTTTGCTAGTTTTTTTCGATTCATCATTAGAGTATTCAAACAGATCATTTATTTGTTTCCATATGATATGAGTTTGTTATGTTGGTTGTGGTCTTGGGCTTGGCGTCACGCAACCAACATTCATTGTCTGAGTCGTTTGCAGTTTTAAGAGGGTTCAAGCGTGAGGGTTGTGAATTTTTGACCATCAATCAAGATGGCAGCTGCCCGATTAGCAGTCAGTGGCATAGCGGATGATGATGGCATTGAGAAGTACTTTGACGCACTGGAGTTGGATAAATTGGTCTTGCAAGACCAAGGCGGCCAACGCCACATGTATCCAGGATGCAAATCAACCATCTGAGTTTCCTCTAGAATCCAAATCAGCTTGAAATAGTTTTCTCTTTCTGAGGATCTGGGCGCCGTTGGCTGAAGCGACCCAGCACACTGCCAGAGTGGATGAGGTCCATAAAGAGTGCCAGCCTTAGGTGGGTTGATGGGTTGGTTGTTTGATGTAGGATAGGGATAGGGATAGGATAGGATAGGTAACCTGAATGAAGGAAGCGCTTGACTTGACAGTTTTTCTTGTCTGACAATTTGGTTTGAGGAAATATGGCCCTGGTCGCTTTGTGGTCGAAAAATCATGGCCGATACGCATCCCACTTTGAAGTGACTTGGCTCTGCGCAATGTGTTTGATTAGCTTTTTCGTGGTGACCTCATTTGTTCCATGGTCTGAATAATAAGGATTGCGACAGAGTGTTTGACGCAGCGCGTGTGTTCATTTCTCCAGTCCTGGACAGAGTGGCGCCTCTCTCAAGCTTGAGCCTGGGCAAAGGAAACTCAAACCGGCGCAATTGGTGCGGGAGATCGAAGCCGCGTATGAGGGGGTTGGACATATATATGTCCCATACGCTGGAAAGACTTATGTGGCTACAATGTCCTTCAAGGATCCGGAGAATTTTTTTTTTGGCGCAATAGTGCCCTGGCTAATTTGACTGTATGAGTCTTAATACTTTGAATTGGTGAAGTTGATCTGAGGTGATCTTGCTTCCAGGTTCTATGGCATCTTCCTACGACCTGTGAACATCAGGCTGGCTCAAGGCAGAGACGCAGAACAAGATCTGTCTGAACCTGAACGGTGGATTGCAGAAGGCGCTGTCGTGCAATGAATCAGTGAGAAGTTGTTTTGCTGAAGGACTCAGTGCCGAGGGCGCTGTGTCATGGAAACACGGCTCACATTTTTGGCTGAAGGGCATTGCGCCACATATCTATGCAAACACAATTTGCAGTTTGGTTGAGGGGCACGGGGCCCCTTAATTCGGTAGTTGGCGCTGTGTTACCGAAACACACTCACCAGTCACCAGTCTGGAAAAAGGTGTTTGCTGATCAGTGATTGCACAGTTTTGCTGGCTTTGAACAAAAGTAGCGTTCTATAATCAGCCCAGTGAATGAATGTTACCGTTGCCGATGCACTTCGTGGAGTGTGAGTGATTATATCATAGTGTCATAGAGTTTCCAACAAAACATATTACTATAATCATGAAGTCAATCAGCACCATGAACGACTCAAATAGTATCCGATACACTTCACAGATTGTGAATGATTCTTTTGGCTGGCTCACCAGTAACAGGAAACAATGTGTCAATTCAAACCAGAGCTGCTCAAAACTAGACGACGGTTGGCCCGAGAGCGAGACATGTAATTGTCCAGCACTGTCGAAAAGATGTATAGAAAGAGAGAAAGAGAGGGTGGATGTGAAGGAGTGACAGTGTGGAGTGTGGATGTGCAGGTGTGATGATCTGTAGATGTATGGAGGTGGAGAGGTAGATCTGTGGATGCGAGCGTGCGAAGATGTAAATGCACAGAGACGAGAGAAAAGATATGTAGGAAGAACTAAAGACAGGACAGATGTGAAGGAGCGACAGTGTGGATGTACAGATGTGATATAGATGTGCAGATGTGTGGGTGTGGTGAGGTGGAGAGGTAGATCTGCGGATGTGAGCGTGTGAAGATCTAAATGTAGAGAGGTGAGGGGGTGTAGACGTAGATGCGTCGATGCAACGGCAGCGTGACGTCAACCTTAGTTGCGCAAGTACAACGCTGAAGAGGTTCAAATAGAACTGAAGAACGTACATTTCACACTGAAGTTTCCGCGAACAGGGCGACCTGAGAGTAAACGACGTCACGATCATGACAAGCGACTCGCGTATTCCAAGCGAACATCGTTTGTCATGAAGGTGAAGTACACACATACTAACGTCACGATGACTCTTTTGTGGCAGCCACTTATGAGTAAGCAAAGTAGCTAAAATTTCTCAGCCTCTCAAGAGAGCCGGGTGGTCGGGAGACATGACTCAGCTGCAGGGGCGCGAGAGCAGCCGCGAGAGATGCCTCAGCCGCGAGAGATGACTCATCCGCGTACTAAAGTTGTACTACAAAGTCGCCAGTTCTCAGCTTCCAGCTCCCCAGCTCCCCAGATACTCCGCGTACTCAAGTTGCGCTACAAAGTCGCCAGTTCTCAGCTTCCAGCTCCACAGATTGCTCCGCATACTAAAGTTGTACTACAAAGTCACCGGTTCTCATCTTCCAGCTCCCCAGATACTCCGCGTACTAAAGTTGTACTACAAAGTCGCCAGTTCTCGGCGTCCAGCTCCACAGGTTTCTCCGCGTACTCCAAGTTGTACTACAAAGTCGCCAGTTCTCAGCTTCCAGCTCCACAGATTGCTCTGCGTACTAAAAAGACTACAAAGTCGCCAGTTCTCAGCTTCCAGCTCCACAGATTGCTCCGCGTACTAAAGTTGTACTACAAAGTCGCCAGTTCTCAGCTTCCAGCCCCACAGATTGCTCCGCGTACTAAAGTTGCGCCGGACCGGGCCAAAACGCACTCTCGCCTGCATTTCGCGCCCTCGACGCGCACGATCTCCGCAGAGGGTTGCCCGCGCCAAATCCAAAACGCACTCTCGCCTGCATTTCGCGCATTCGACACGCACGATCTCTGCAGAGGGTTGCTCGCGAGCAGGACAAATCGCGCTCGCGCCTGCGTTTCGCGCACTCCACACGCACGATCTCCGCAGAGGGTTGCGCCGGACCGGGTCAAAACACACTCTCGCCTGCGTTTCGTGCCCTCGACACGCACGATCTCCGCAGAGGGACAAAATGCACTCTCGCCTGCATTTCGCGGCCTCGACACGCAAGATCTCCGCAGAGGGTCAGAACTCCCGTCAAAACATTGCAGCAGCGTTGCAGAGCTATGCGTGCCATCTAACAGTCTAACAAATTTGTATTTTGCTCTGGTGAGCTTTGCTGTAACGCCGTAGCAGGACTTAGCTAATATATATATATATATATTATATTATTTTATATAATCTCTTATTTATTTATCATATCTGCTTATCATATGGCCCCATGTGCATTCACTGTTTGATGTTGGGCCCTCCTTCGCCAAATGCCAGGTGAATTTGGCCGTTGGAGCATTGATTTGCCCGACAAGAAAGATGGAAAATGGGCTGTGCCTCACAGGCGTGGAGGGAAAGGTTCTACATCGAGGAATACAGTTCTAGGTACCACATGGAACAGACTCGCCTTGCTGGCAGGTCCCAATTTCGCAAGGTCCTTAGTGAAATGGATAAGCGCTTAGAAATTTGTTTGCTTGTGATTTGCGGGGCTGGTTGGACGAGAGGTTTGAGAATACAGACAGAGTGTGGCACTGTGGAGCGTGTCCCCGCTTGGACCAAATTGGCACGGCAGGCCAGGGGCGAAGCCTTGAGAGTTCGCGACAACGCACTTCTTTGCACTATTCGGTTTGTTGTTGACCGATTTTGGACATTTTGACGCCCAATTTGTTAAACATTCAATAGGAAACATGTTCTCTATTTGCATTGAGCTGAGCCTGGCAGAACCTTGACGTGAATGTTCTCAACGGTGTCATGTGGGAGCCGCCTCCTTCAGCACGCTACAGGATGAGACATGCAAGGCTTCGGGAAAGTCGAAGTGGATGGAAATCCAAGTTGAAACCGAGTTCAGATAGCAATCCACTTAATTGATGTCAATTTGCGATGCTACAAGACTAGCAGTCCGCACTCACACGCAGGCCTCATCGCCCGGAGAATTTGAAAATCTATGAGGCTCACTTAGGCAAGATGAGACAGTCCAGATCTTCTGAAAGAAAGACTACCGGATTATGAAACAGCAATATAGGTTTCTGGTGTGCGTAGGTATTGCAGGTAGGGAAGAGCGAACTCACTCGTTCCTTGGACCTCATTACTGTCAGTATTTTGTATGATTTTGTCTCTTTGATAGAATCTGAGACATTTCCAATGACATGATGGCATGCTGGAACACATACGAAGCACGCTGTGCACTCAAGGCCCAAACTCAGGTGTCCAAAACGGCGCGCGCTGTGTTTCACGGTAGCGGAGCTCTGTGGGCAGCCCCCACAACTCCAGGTACCCTTTTGGGGATCAACCCACTGGGGATTCAACGGTCTACCGAAAGCCCGGGTAGACTAGTAGCCGGGTCACGCACATGGCTGGCTTGGACGAGCACGAGGGCATGGGAGCGGCTGAGTCGGCGCCATCCACAGGTGCAGTGACTGGGGTTCAGGGGCTTGCGCAAGCGCAGCATGATCGAGGTGCAGCGGAGTTCGGGTTTCATCAAGCATCTGAAGCCCCCTACGACTTTCTCCCCAGAGAATAGAGGTGAAGAATTGAACAAGTGGATGGACTGGCGGTTTCAATTTGAAACATTTGTGGGAGCAGTTGACCCGAGCGTGCTGTCCCACATGAAGAACGCTGAAAAGGAGGAGGCACCGATCAACGACGGACTCCCTACGGCGAGACCCCAATCTGAACGCTTGTACTCTTTGTTGACAGGCCTCATGAAGCAGAGACCCCTCCGGTTGGTACGAGGTGTGGCAGGCCAGAACGGCCTGGAGGCTTGGAGAGTGCTCACCAAGACTTGCAGCCTCGAACCAGGCAGCGTTCATTGGCCCTCATCCAGTCTTTGAACAAGGTTCAGTTCGATGGAGGCAAGACGGTGAACGAGCAGCTGCCCCAGTACGACCTGATGGTAAGAGAGTACGAAAGGAGTGCAAACGTGACCTACCCGGACGACCTAAAGATTGCCTCGGTGATAGCAGCCTTGCCAGCCACCCTCAGGCTTCACGCGCAGATGACGTTGCAGGATGACACTACGTTCGAGGACTTGAGGCAACGCATCGAGATGTATGAGCAGGTGAGCCAACGTTGGATGAGTGATGGCGCCGTGCAGATGAATGTGAAGCCGCTCATGGATCAAGAAGATCGTGGCTTACCAATGGAAGTGGATGCTGTGTGGGCAAAAGGAGGTAAGAAGGGTGGAAAGAAAGGAAAGAAGGGCAAGGAGAAGGGCAAGAATTCAAAAGGGAAGAGCTTCTGGTCCAAAGACGGAGGCAAGAAAGGCGGCAAAGGTGGTAAGCTAAGAGCTCAGGGAAGCAAGATGGAAGAAAAGGCAAGGCTGGAGTTGGGACGTGTCACAACTGCGGCAAGCCAGGGCACTTTGCCCGAGAATGTTGGGCCCCCAAGAGAGCACGGTAGAAGATCAGGAGGCCTCAGAGGTCAACAAGAGTGGACAGTCCAGCCAGCAAGGAAAAGATCAAGTTCAACCTGGTGGACCACCTACCGTGCTGGAGTCAGGAGGGTGAGACTGGTCACGCCTACAGGACTAGCAACAATGGAGATTTTCGATTTGACCCAGGACGACTCGCCTGAGGAGCCGGTCCCTTCAGAAGATGAGGAGATGGCATGGGCCATCAAGATGGTGAAGGAGGTGCAGAGTACTGCATCCGAGGAGAAAGAGATCTTCTACGATTCCCACAGTGGAGATGAGGTTGAGCCGCCAGGTACTCCGTCATTGGAGGAGACAGGAGATCAAGTTTTTCGAGCCCAATACGAGGACATAGAGTTGGGCATGTGCAAGGTGTGCATGGTGAAGAGTGAGGCCCCTACAGTGACATTACCCTTGAATGTGGAGCAGATGTGTCCGTTGCGCCGGAGGAGTACTACCAGATGGGTTCCAGGTCAGCAGCGATCTGTGCAGATGGTCGACGCACAGAGGCCATCAAGAGTGCTGGAAACCGCAGACTGCTGCTTCAGGCCTACACTCGAAGTGGAGAGATGGTGGAATTCGTCGAGCAGTTCGTGTTGGGAGTCGGTGTAACACATCCATTGCTAAGCTTTGGTCGACTCCTCAGGCAAGGATGGGTGCTTGTGATCAGCATGGTCTATACTTGGAGCACCCCGAGAAGAAGATGCAGATCCCGGCCAGACTTGAAAGAAACTCTCTGGTCATGGATGTGAAGGTCTGTGCAGTTCGAGCTGAAGAAGATTTGGACGAAGAGCGACAGAAGGAGATGGAGTCCATGGCGCCGAATGACAGGACTCAGGCATTGAACAATGCTGGAGGAGCAGAAGAGGACAAGGAGAGTCTCGAAGATGTATAAGTGGAGCGAGGAGTGAAGAGAAGTGCTGTCGCGAGAATTGGGTCTACTGGAGAAGATGCCTGGATGGCACGCTTTGCCAAATGGAATAGTGGTGCATTCAAGTCCACAAGCAACGCACTTCCTCGATCCAAGTCCCTCCTTCGGCCCTGAATGGTGTGGACGTATGACCTTGGTGAAGAAGGACAACTCAGGAGCTTGGGAACAGATTGAGAGCTTAGCTGCGTACAAGGACACTCCATTGCCCTTTCGAGCTCTACCTGCAGGACCGCGGCCGACCTTGACATTTGTGGCTCCAGGACTGATTCGAGACTACTTCGCGTTGAACTCGGAGGTTCCAATACCCACTGCGGAGAGCCGTCGTCTTGGCCAGATGATGAGAGAGACGAAGAAGGTGGAGAGTTCCCCATGCTGGCAGCAGGTAGTGGAGGACGGGCAGAGATCTTGGAGGATGTTGAGTTCGTTGATCCAGACGAACTGAAGGTGCAGATCGACGAAACATGGTTTGACAAAGAAACAAAGCTGAAGGCCCTGCAAGAGATCTGCAAACAGCTTGAGTTGGCTACGTCAGGTTCATGCAGCGCTACAAGCATCAGCAAGAGGAGAAGATGGCCTATGAAGTAGCACAAAGGCTGTTCAGTGAAAGCAGGAGAGAGGCCATTCCGTTGAAGACGCCCAAGCTGCCCAGTCGACGCGAACAAGAACTACACCAATTGACGCACCTGCCGTTCCAACCATGGTGCCAACAGTGTGTTGCAACACGGTCAAAAGAAGATCCTCGTACAAAAGAAGACCAAAGTGACAGAAAGGATAGAGGAAGACCAGTGATCAGCTTTGACTACGGGTTTACGTACACCACGGGCGCGCCAGAGGAAAAGCAATGGGGCACAGCTCTCTACGCGGCGGAGTCAGAGTCTAAAGTCGTGAACTCCCGTGGCAATACTCAGTTCAAGGCATCCTCGTGAAGACCAAGTTTGCTGCACGACAACGACTAGCCGATGCAGCTGAAGAAGCCACAGGTGAAGAACAGGTGGAGAAGGAAGCCAGCAAGTTGCCAGGAGAATGGACATGGTCCTGTGACACCAGGTCTGGCTCCAGACGGCTATCCAAAGACACCACTCAGAACGCCTGCGGCTCCAAAACCAGCAAGTAAAACACCGGCGCTACAAACACCAGTGGCGGTGCCTATGCCTGCAACACCAGCACGTCCAGCGCCTAAGGCGCCAGCAGCACCAGAGCAGCCATTGGAGCCAAAGCGTTCATCCTCAGATTCAAAGGAGCTTCCTCAAATGGCGTTGACTGCTGAGAAAGAAGTTCCAAAGCGAAAGATGGCAAGGCTTCCAATCGCAGAGGCAATGCGAGGTGAGCCGGCGCGGAACTTTCTGCCAGGAGGTCAAGATTTTGAGACAAGTCCAAAGAAGCAGAAGATGGAGGAAATCGTGGGCAACCTGGCGCCGGTGACTCCACCATTGGGTACGAAGAGAGAGTATGCTCTGCCTTGGGATGATGAGGATGATGAAAAGAGGAGAATGAGCCCAAAGAGACGTGTGAATAGCATCCAAGAGGATTTTCCAGGTGGAGATGAATTGATTGGAGAAGCCATATTACAGGATGAGCTCAACAAGATCAGTGACGATGAAGGTGAAGAGAAAGGCATTGGGAAACCACCCGAGGTCAGTGAAGAAGAGCTAGCAAAGTTGGATGCTGAAGCATGCAGGCATGAAGAAGAAAGGTTGGAAAAGATGGGCGTCCTCGAGAAGTTGAAGATGAATGAGCCAGCAGAAGAAGGCTCCTACGTGCTCACGTCAAAGATGGTCATCACCTGCAAACACAGGGATGAGAAAGGAGGTTGGTTCAGAAGGGCCAGATTGGTTGGAAGACAATTCAAGTGGTCTGTCTTCACTGAGGACGCATTCGCACTTACATCTGCGTCCGTGATCGTGAGAATGCTCCTTCGACTGCAGATGAAGAGTGGCCTGGCACTCTATACACTTGATGTGAAAGGTGCATTCCTCCTGATGGACCAGCCTGAGGATGAGAGAGCATTGGTGGTGACCGACAATGGAACCTATCGGCTGAAGCGAAATCTACCAGGACAACGCAATGCTGCAGCCCAGTGGTTCAATGGCTTCTGTAAGGTGGCAACAGAGTTTGGATTGGCGCAAGACACGATGCAGTCCACCATGATGAAGAAACCAGAAGCAAATGAAGGAAGTGAGAAGGGTGGAAAGCTGTATCTCACCATCCACGTGGACGACTTGCTTCTGATTGGTGACGAAGTTGAAGTGGAGAAGTTCATCACCTACATGGAGAAGAAAGGCTGGAAGACAGAGAAGCGAGGGCCGCTCTACGTGAGAAACTTCAGCTATTTGAAGAGAGAGAAAATGGAGCTGATTGACAAGGGCATCACCATCAGACCAGACAAGCAGCACATCAAAGAATTGGCAAAACTCACAAATGTGGAGCAGCGAAAGTGTCGAACAACCCCTGGTGATGGAACCTTCAACAGATTGAGCAAAGATGATGAACCGATGAAGTACGAGGACATCACCAAATACCGCAGTTGTGTGGGGAAGTTGCTCTACATCGCTCCCGATCGTCCTGACGTTCAATACGTCGCACAAGGCCTAGCTGGTTTCACGCAGAAACCAACAAGGAAGAGTTGGCAGGCCATGCGACATGTGAGTTCATACCTCCTTGGAACAATGGACGAAAGGGGGGGGCATGCTGAATGACGATGACAACGTCTATGAATGGGACCTCAATGAGGAGAAAAAGAGCATGCTGGAAGTGGTGTGACGCCGACTATGCAGGCCAACGGGACACAAGGAAGAGTGTCAGCTCGGTCCAGATCTACCTGGATGGATGCCTGCTGGAAAGCTATGTGAGGAGTCAAAGAGCCATAGCACTATCATCAGGGGAGAGCGAGTATGTGGCCATGGTTGGCGGACGCAGTGAAGGGCTATTCCTCAAGCACTGCTGGAAGTTCTTGACCAATGAAGACCTGGATATGGTATGCCGGAGTGACTCATCGGCAGCCAGAGCTCTTGCAGGTCGAGTTGGAGTGGGGCGTACGCGCCACATTGCAGCTGGTTTGTTGTGGCTCCAGCAGAAGGTGGTCTCGAAGGAGTTGAGGATCACTGGAATCCCAACAGCTGTGAACACCAGTGACAGTGGGGCGAAGATTTTGAGCAGGGCAAGGATGAGTGGCCTGAAGTACCTGATCAAGATGGTCGACATCGATGACGAAAAGATTGGAAAGTCCCAATATGAAGAGATAAAGTCCAAAGAGCAGCTCAAGAAGAACACGGGAAAGATGGCAAAGATGATGTGTGCAAATGCAAAGGCGGCCTTGGTGATTGCTTTGTCACTACTACAAGGAGGCCAAGGAGCGGAAATCGAGCATCCAGAAGAAAATGAAGAGGAGAGCAATGAGGCTTGGTGGATTCGGCCATTGATCACCATGGTCTGTTTGGCAAGCGTCGGGGCCTTGAGCCTGGCGCGAATGGCCATTGGGGCTAGGAAGACATGGTGTCGTGGAAGACGAAGTCACGGAGAGCCCATTGAGGAGAATGAGAATGAAGGGATAGCTGATGATGCGGCAAGACCGCTTGTGAGAAGTGGAACAAGTTCAAGTGAGTCGCAACCTGTACAGCCTCAGCGAGAAGAGAAAGTCAACACGCAGTGGCAAATTATCCATTTGGAGGTGGCCATTGCTGAACAAGAAGAGAAGCTAAAGGATACTCGACGAGATCGAGACCTACAAGCAAGAGAAGTGGTCTGCGTGTACAACATGTGCACGGATCTGCGCTTCGAGCTTGAAAATGTGAAGAATGAAAGAGATGAAGCCAAGAGGAAGGCCATCAGATTGGCCGGAACAGATGATGAGCGAGCAATGGAGATGGAAAGGATGGCAGAAGATGCTGCAAAGGCTTGGGAAGTCACGGAACTATGGAAGAAAAGCGCAAAAGAAGCTGAACAAGAAGCAAAGCAACAGATGACCGAACTGCTGCGGAACACACGTTTCACCTTGGAGCGCAAGCATTGGCAAATGGGCAAGACAAGCACGTGTTACCACCAACCAGGGTGTGGACACTTGGCCAATAGCGCCACCGCGAGAATGCTCAAGACATGCGCGCATTGTGTTCCAGAAGCCATAGGAGCGGTGATAGAATCTGAGACATTTCCAATGACATGATGGCATGCTGGAACACATAGGAACCACGCTGTGCACTCAAGGCCCAAACCCAGGTGTCCAAAACGGCGCGCACTGTGTTTCACTCTTTGGATTCTTTGGGTCTTTCTGAATTTGAAGAAAGACTATTGCAACCGTTTTCAATTGCACCCTAAGGTATCTGGAGTTCAAGGAAATCCTACCTCGGATCAAACGCCTAGGCTACAACGCCCTCCAGGCAGAGCTGTGTTGTCTCGGCGCCGATCGGTTCCAAACATAAGATATACAGACATGTAGTAGCAAGGGAAGTATAGAAGGGGTCTTTTGAGTGAGCAGTAGTGAGACAAAGTAGTAGCATCGTTGCACTCAACCCAGATTTTTAAGCTTTGGAACGCAGCATTCCGTAAGATGTGATGCAAATACTGTATGTCCGCAATCCGCAGATCATGGCTGTTGCTGAGCATGCATCCCACAGCTCTTTTGGTCGTGGCCCCCAGTGCAGCTGTGAGATGCAAGAATTGGAATCGATTTGAATACACGTGTCCTTCAGGCTATGAGGTGACAAACTTTTTTGCTCCCTGCAGCCGATTCGGTACCCCAGAAGAACTCAAGGAGCTTTTGGAATCGGAAGCGTTGGTATACAGATCAGGTTTAATTTTGATTTGTTTAGCTTAGCTTAGATTCGCTATGGTTAGCCTCAGGAGCTGGTTGACACAGCCCACGCTTATGGCTTGACTGTCCTTATGGACTTGGCTCATTCGCACTGCTCCTCAAATCAGTCCGACACCCTAAGCAGACACTGCTTTCTCGATGGCGGCTTCGCCTGAGCACTCAAACTGCCACGCTAAGGATCGATGGGATTGCAGCCATGGATGGCACAGACAATTGTTACACGCGAGAGTCCTGGCCACCGGGATCTTGACCAGCGTGCTTTGTATCCCCGAAACAGTTGCAGTTGAGTATTGAGTACTTGGGATTCCGATCAAGGCATCGTGGTCACAAGGGCAAGCAGGAGTTTGGAGAGCTTTGCTCTTTCTGGCTTAGTTAATTGGTCACTGTCCTTTCACAGGGCTTCAGCATGCTTCCTGGTGAGGAACAATGGGGTGCTTCGCTCTTTGACTACAGCAAATATGAAGCTTTGGCCTCAGGCTGTGCTGCTCCTCTGCAAAATGGATATTTAAGACTTGACCGCCTGGTACACTCATTCGCTCCCTCAGGTCCTGCGTTTCTTGCTATCCAACCTGCGATGGTGGATTGAGGATAGATTGTGAGTCAATTCAGGTTAGACCAAAGCTCAAGATCCTTCCAGGAGTATGGCTTTGACGGCTTTCGCTTTGGAGGAGTTACCAGTATGTTGCACCTCGTCTCAGAAGCGCTTTGTTGGAGTGAAAGGGCACCAGCCGTCCAAGAACCGACATTGAGCATCAAAGTACTTTAGCCCAGACACCGTGGAGCATTTAGGTTTCGTTTTCAATGCGATCCGGTCTTGTGGATGACAAAGCCTTTCAACATCAAATTTGCTCCGCAGACATTCTGTTCTCAGTAAAAGGTCGAAGATCACCTAAGATGCCCCAATTCTTCTTTGATCTTCTTTGCCTTTGCTGAGCAGACTGCAAGATTAGCATGACGTGTCCGACCAAGAGCTGTGCTGTTTTCGGATCGTACCCAGATAAGCGAAACTACCCGCGTCAGGGGGAAAGCAAGGTACACACCCAGATGCCACACCGTCGGATTTGGACCAAGGTACATTTCCCATGGAATCGGAAAGCGCTTTGGCCACGACTACCACCAGTGGGAATCTTGATTGAGGTTGTTTATATAGAATAGTTTAGATTCTACATAGAGCATTGTTTGTCAAAGGTACTTTGGAGGAGATGCTGACATTGAGCATGCACCTCAAAGTCACTGGAACATTGAGTGCTTACACAGGAAGCTTATATAACTGTTCTCACTCAGCCAATCAATCTGTCTTTGGGTGCTGTTGATTTGCACGTAAACCATTTTTTGGACTCATTTGCATGCAGGTCAGGCACCTACCTGATGCTGGCAAACTATTTGGTGAAGAGGCTGTTGCCTAGATCAGGATTGACGATCGCTGAGGACAGCAGTAGCAAGCAACTTTCAAGAGACTTCAGAGACATCAGCTAAGCAGGATTCTTCAGGGATGCCAACCCTGTGCCGAGCAGTCGATGATGGTGGCTTTGGCCCATGCCCCAGACACGCGATTCAATTCACCACGAAGTCAAGCGCACTTTGCTCGGTTCTACAGCCTCTGATTTGAGGTTTTGACTACTGCCTCTCGGTGAACATCCCTGGTATGTGGACCAAAATGCTGCAGGATGCTGTTCAAAAGATAGCGATTTGCCCTAGCCTGACTGTGACCGACCAACACACTCCCTCACTCCTCGCTTGCTCGGTGCATCCAACTCATTGGGCCACTTGCTTCAGGAGCAGCCTGATGAGACTTGGAGTGTTAGCCGCGTTGTCAAAGCTTTGCAGACGCTTTGCAGCAGATGGAGTTGCAAAATGAAGGGGTTGCAGCCTTGTTCATTCTTAGAAGATGGCTGATGGCTGCGGATGTTTATCGGGATATATATATATGCCAAGAAGCATGACATGTGCTCATCTAAGATGACACGCACAAATCGAGAAGTGTCTTATACAGACCGCTAATCGGCCCGAGAAAAGCTTCGCATGGTAGCGGAGCCTGCGAAGCCGGTTCCCCCGAGGGGACCGGTGGAGGCTCCTTTCTAGCTGACGCCATAGGCCCCTTTGCCCGAGGGTGGACCACGACCTAAAGCCCAAGGAGGTCCCGGAGTTGGAGGTTGGTGGCCATGGCTGGCTTAGGTGAAGCAGTGGGCTCACCGACCTCGGCTGCAGCGGCCATGGATGGCCAAGAGTTCGCGATGAGGATGATCCAAGCTGCAGAAGCGGCGTCCCTTGCCGCAAAGACAGCCGCAGAAGCCCTGTCCCGAAAGAACTCGGGAGAAGAATCTTGGTTCAAGGTCCTCCCGAAGCCCAACACCTTCGACGCCAAGAACAGGGAGGAAGAGCTCACCCAATGGAGAGATTTCAGTTGGAGCCTTGAGCAGTATCTCTCGTCCTTGAACGGCATGTTCACTGAGGACTTCAAGGGCATTCGAGCTCGACCTGATGATCCCATCGACCCCAGCATCCAGTCTGACGAGGAGAAGCAGAGGAGCAAGTTCCTCTACTCACTGCTGGCGTCCTTGGTGAAGCAGCGCCCACTGGCTATGGTACGCCAAGTGAAGGAGTCCAATGGCATGGAAGCCTATCGATTGCTGGTGCAGAGCTTGGAACCAGCATCGAAGAATCGCGCCCTCGGCCTTTTGACTATGATCCTGGAGTGGAAGCCCTTCGAAATGCGAAAAGGGAGCATTTTGGGCCAGGTCCTCCGCCTCGAAGAGGCCTTTGTTGAATATGAGAAGACGGGCTCGAAGTTGGAGGACAACATCCGCTTTGCAGTCCTCATGAGGTGCATTGGAGGCCAATTGAAGACCTGGCTACAACTCAATGTGGCGGAATCCCAGGACTACCAGAAGCTCAGAGAGGCGATCATCCAGTACGACAACGCCACTATGAGATGGACGAATGTGATGAATCTTGGAGCTGAACCTGGAAGCACCGATGGAGCCATCCCCATGGAGATCGACCGGATCAAGGGAAAAGGTGGCGACTACTCCAAGTCCAAGGGCAAGGGCAAGGACTATGAGCGGAAGGGCAAAGGCAAAGGTGATGGAAAGAGCAAGTCCAAGGGCAAGGGCTATGGCAAGCAACCAGATCCAGGAGGAAAAGGTCAACAGAAAGGAGGGCAAAGGTGACGGTCAGAAAGGCCAGAAAGGAAAGGGCGACTCCAAGGTCTGCTACACCTGCGGCAAAGCTGGCCACATCTTGAAAGACTGCTGGCAGCGTTTGAGGCAAGTCAGCGAGGAGACCACCACGGCCAAGACCAACGCAGAGACTGGAACGGTTGCGTCAAGTCCAACAACTGCCAGCCAGAGCACGAGCTGGAAATCGGGCACGGTCAAAAGAGTCCAGGAGGTTTCACACCCGGAATTCGAGAATGAGCCCATGACCTTCGATCTACGGCCAATGTCAATGGCAAACCTGGACAACAAACAGGTCAGGATGATCCAGTTCTTCTCCATCTCTGAAGAGATTGAGCCCAATGACGATGACGACAAGCTGACCTATAACATCCTGACTGTGAAGCAGCAGCACCATGGCATGGAGAATGGGGGCCCGGTGGGTGTGATCATCGACTCAGGCGCTGATGCCACTATCCTGCCAAGTTCATTTCTAGATGTTGGCACGGATCTTTGTGAAGGAGCCCCACGTTTGCAGGATGCTCAAGGAGTACCCATTGCAGTTCGTGGGTACAAACAGGTCTGTTTCATCTTTCAGGCCGATGGAGAGCGAGAGGTCCAGATCTTTGACAAGGCCCACTTTTCAGATGAAATCAACCAGCCAATCATCTCCTATGGCAAGCTCATGGAAGCAGGCTGGAACATCGAGGCCGGACGTGATGATGGGAGCCAGCATTGCATGACTTTTGGTCAGGGCAACAGTGTTGTGAGGATCCCATTGCAGCTTCAAAACAGGAGCCTTGTTGCTGAAGGACACCTACGAGCGGTGGTGGAGGAGCAGAATGAGCCCATGATGGTCAGAGTCTTGGAGGCTCGATTGATGGATGACCTCCAGTTGAAGGCGAGGTATCAAGTCGGTTGGAAGCAGGAGGAGAACAAGTGGTATGGTGTCCACTTGGCTAAGAAGCTTCAACCCCCACAGTTTGTGGAGAGATTCCTTCCACGACAGATTGGAAGAGGACCACCCTCGTGAAGGTGAAGGATCAGTGGCAGCTCTACGAGATGTGCGAGAATCTGCACGGGTTGGACAACCAGGAGGAGGTCATTGACGCTGTCGAGGAGAACACCCTGGTTTTAACGATCCTCACTGCAGAAGACTTGAGCACAGAGGAGATGGGCTTCGAGGTGGACACTGGTCTGGACTTGCAGCCAAAGGTGGATGATGCTTTGGCTTTGAGGGAGCATGAGATCCCAGTGGAAGAGCCCCAACGTGCTATGGATGAAGCTGCAGCTGATGTCATCCCTGCAGTTGCAGAGGGTGTTGATGGAGGAGGAGCTGGAGACCAAGAAGGACGACTGGTGTTGGAAGCTGGCCTACCGGATCATGTGGTAGTGAATGACATCCAGTTGACTCCCACCAGCAAGCTTCGAGAGCTACGTGCTGCATGCCACTTCTATTGGCGTTAGCCAATCTGGAAGCCGCATGAAGTGTTTCCAGAGGATTGTGAGCCACTTGAAGGAGCGTGAACTCAAAGCCGCTTCTGAGGCTGTGGCAGCAGCAGAGTTGCAAATGGCAAGACAGCCCAAGATGCAGAGCATCGTGCCAGTACCGTCCAAACAGGTACAAGAACTTCATGCTTTGACACACGTGCCATATCAGCCTTGGTGCGAGGCCTGTTTACAACATCGAGGACGACCTGATAGGCACCTAAGGACTGGAGCAGCGCACACTGGTGGAATCCCAATCATTTCGCTGGACTTCGCCTACACGAAAGCTGGAGAGATTGACAGAGCCCCAGTTCCGAGAGATAGAGGCCAAGATCCAGAAGATGGAGAAGTGATTGATCTTTATGATCGTGATGAATGATCAAGAAGGCCCACACGAACCACGCATCAAAGAGCTGAAACCTGCACTATGGCTCATCATGGTCTGCAGTCAGACTGGAAGCTTGGGGGCAGTGCCATTGCAGTCAAAGGGACAGCTGAACCTAATGGCCCGGGAGATCATGAACTTCGTGCAGACCCTTGGCCATGTGGAGATTGGGCTGTATGGAGACAACGAACCCACGATCCGTTCAGTGCTGAGGATCTTGCTGAACAGCCGGCGCGCCATGGGTCTTCGAACACGACTGTACACCATGAAGGTCAAGGATTCAGCTGGAAATTCCCTGGCGGAGAACGCCATTCAGAGGGTTCGTGGGCTGGCGTGCACCCTGATGCGGGAGATTGCGATCAAGACTGGACTGCAGTTCAACACAAACCATGGTCTATGGAGTTGGGCTGCCAGACACTCCTGTTGGCTGCTGAACAAGTTCCAGGCTACGAGAGGAACCACAAGCCATGAATTGGTGCACGGCAAGACCTATACTGGTGCCTTGGTTCCCTTTGGATGCCCAGTGTATGCCTTTGTCAAGCCTCAATCTGGCAAGGGCAATCCAAGATGGAGGATGACGCTGTTCCTAGGCAAGACAGAAGGCCAAGATGCATGGATTGTGGGCGATGGCAGCCAGGTGATGCTCACCAGATCTGTCAAGAGGATCGACCGACCCTGGAGGAACTTCGGCGCCTACTACCAGAACTTTGCCACCCACACCTTCGAGTACCAGATCAACTTTGGAGGCCGCATTGTACCGAGAGCGGGCCGCCAGTGCAGTACCCCTTCAATTGGGACCTGCACCACCTCGTGATGAGATCATCTTTCGATACAGAGATGAGGAGGCAGAGGAGGTGGAGCGCTATGCAAAGTCCAAGGAAGGGCTTGAAGAGAGTCAAAGAGAGATTGAGGAAGCTCGAGAACCTGATGGAGGAGCATTGGCTGATGGACCTGGAGGCCCAGCACCATCTGCCCCGCAACTTGATGAGCAGAGAGAAGGATTGCAAACTCCCCCAGCTCTTGGTAGTCAACCTGGAGAAAGGGGCACAGGAGGAGACATCCCAATGGTGTTCGAACCACTGCCATGGGAGAAGGAAGCAAGTGAAGCACCTCCTGAAGGGAGAATCCTGAAGAAGCTCCCACCTCCAGAGACAGCAGTCAAGGCTGAACCAGAAGCCAAACGAGCTCGTCGAATAGATGGACCACCGAGTGGATCAAGTTCATCGCAACACCAGGACATGGTCGAGAGAAGAGTCAAAAAGGTGTGTGTTGGAGAGGACACGATGTACCACCTTGATGAGGTCTTGGATGTTGAGACCATGGCCATCGAGGAGGAAGTGGACGACCTGGAGAATTTGGAGCCGGGCGCAATTCCTGAAGGGCTATGGAGTGACCATCCTTTGACGAGGACAGCCCCAGAGCCAGACATCGAGGTTGATCTCTTGGCCAACAAGGTGGAGGAGAAGAGGCTGACGAGGATGGGTGTACTTGAACCTCTCACCATAGACGATGCGCATCTGGATCGACTGACCACCAGATTTGTCCATGACTGGCGGGTGAAGAACTACGTTCAAGCTGATGGAGGCACTGTTCTTGAACAAATGTGGTGGTAAGCCAAGGTCTTGGAGATCAAGGACCACCGATTCTTGGAGCATGGGACATCAAAGATGCTTTCCTGCAGGTGCCTCAGGAGCGACCATTGCAAATCACCACGGCCACAGGGTACTATAAGGTCCTGAAGAACATCCCTGGCCAGAGGATAGGTGCCAAAGCCTGGTATGAATTCCTACGGGAGTACCTGGAGAAGGAGCTTTCGTTCACCTTTGATGTGGTGAATCCATGTTTGGGAAAGCAAGGCGCTGGAAGCAATTTGGTCTGTGTCCTTGTGCATGTGGACGATGTGATGTTCACTGGACGCCAAATCCCTGTGGAGAACTTCGTGAAGAAGCTAAGGGACAAGTTTGATGTCGAAGTCTCCATGATCAAGGAGCATAATGAGGAGTTCTCGTTCCTGAAGCGCAAGTACACCTATGTGCCAGAAGGCCTATTAGTGAGGCCAGGACAGTATGCCACGAAGATGATCAAGGCCTTTGAAGACAAGTATGGCCCAGTCCGCAAGCAACGATTGCCAGCCACCGCAGAGATTCAAGATGCTGATGGGTCAAATGTGGCGCCACAAGAGGATGCTGCAATCTACAGATCCATCGTGGGCATGGGCATTTACCTCGCCCAAGAGAGGCTGGACATCAGCTTCGTGGTGAAAGAGCTGGCAAGCAAGATGTCAAGTCCTACCGAGCTCGCTATGCAGAAGGCTCGAAGGTTGGTGGGCTATCTCAAAGAGACTGAGGGTCAGCGCATCTTGCTCCCACTGCCGGTTCAAGGAGAAGGTCTACATGGGCATAGCCATGAGGTGTGGCTGTTGGAGACGTTCACGGATGCTGATTGGAGCGGCAATCGAGCAACGCGACGAAGTACATCCTCATCCATCCATGGCTTGAATGGCATTGTCATCTATAACACCTCAAGAGGTCAGAAGTTGGTATAAGCCTATCGTCGTCTGAGAGCGAGCTGCACGCTCTTGTTGCTGGAGCATGTGATGGCATCTGCATCAAGCACGCCCTAGAGTTCCTCACCGGAGACTCGGTACACCATGTTTGCTGGGTTGACAACTCTGCCACGAAGCAAATCGCCAACAAGCGTGGTGCTGGTCGCTTGCGCCACGTTAGTGGAAAATTGTTGTGGTGCCAGGATCGAGTTGCCAGCGGCTCCATGGAGGTGAAGCAAATCAGCACTGTGCTCAACCTGGCTGATATCGGCGCCAAACCTCTCTCGAAGGCCAGACTACGTCTACTTCTGTTTTGGTGCCATGCCATGAATGAAGATGGCAGCCGAGTCGGAGAGCAGGAGCACCAGGACTTTGAGAGGACTCACATCGAGAAGGGCAAGATCATGAGAGTGGCCAAGTACCTCAATCGCATCATTCTGCTTAGCGGTCTTGAGCTGACCACGGGTTCGAAGCTGGAAGAAAGCTATATGGAGGTAAACTTCACGATCCCCTTCCACTGGATGGTCCTCATGGTGATCTTCGGCTTTCTGATGTTTGCCATCATGATCCTGTGGAACAAGGTGCAAGCACTGGAAAAGAGAGTGATCTTCCTGATCAATCGCATCGAGATGGACTCCAAAAGCCATCGAGAAGCTGTCGACCAACAAGACCGAGAGAATTCTATGACAGCTGACTATGTGGAGAGGGTGCATCGAGGGTTGATCACTGCAGGAGGCCATGTCGAGGAGGCCTCAGTCCAGCGGCTTGAGTGGCAAAGCTTGCACTACCTGGAGGAGATCAACAGGTGGCATGATGGCCTGAAGCTGCGAAGGAGATGGAGCAAAATGGAAGCCATTCAGGCAGAACGTGGAGAACAGCCACCTGGATATGGCATTGTCAACATTGACGTGGATCCAGGTGAACCAGGGCTTAGTGGAGCCACAGCAGTGATCGTCCTGGACCAGGGACGCATCGTGGAGGTCCCGGTGGAGTATGCGGAGCCCGGAGAAGAAAGTCCGAGTGGAAGACAGGCGACGACATCGCCAGTGAGGGAGCCAGTGCCGAGTCCAGGAGAAGAAGAAGTGAGGGATGAGTCCATGCGCAGTGAAGACAGCCCTCCAGAGGTGGTGGATGCCGCCTGGGAGCCTGAAGGAATCAAGATTCCTGATGGACAGTACGCTCACTTTAACCGAGCGTACAACAGGGCTGGCTTAGTTTCAAAAGAAGAACTCCTGAAGATGGAGGCAAATTGGTTTCATGGCCACCGCAACGGGAATCGTGCGCTGATGGCCGAAATGCAAGATTTGATGCAGAGCTCTGTGCATCATGTTCACAACTTCTACCCGTAAAGGGAAGCCAGAGCCTTGAAAGGTGTAAAGAAGTTGAAGTTGAGTTGTAAGTGGCACACTCATCAACTCAAAGGAGGAGTGCCAAGAAGCATGACATGTGCTCATCTAAGATGACACGCACAAATCGAGAAGTGTCTTATACAGACCGCTAATCGGCCCGAGAAAAGCTTCGCAATATATGTTTTTTTGCTTTGGGTGTGGCTTTATATAGTCTTTTGTATTTTAAGTTAGTTTTAGTTTTGATTATATAACTTTTAGTTAAACTGTTAAAAAAGTTAAAGTCTATACTTAATACATCTTTTAATAATGACAACCTCCGATTAATGAACCCCCCCCCACATGGTAGGTCAACAAGGTCAAGAAGCTCTGAGATACCACTCATGAGGTCCACCTCCCCTGAATTATCGGCTCAGGGAGCCATCGTAGTCGCAGTCGTCGTCGGTAGTAGGTAGTAGGTAGTAGGTAGTAGGTAGTAGGTGGTAGGTAGTAGGTAGGTCGTGGGTAGTAGGTAGTAGTAGGTAGTAGGTAGTAGTAGGTAGTAGGTAGTAGTAGTCACAACAAGTTTAAACAAGCACAAAGAAAAGGCCAGGGACACAGGATCAAATTAATAGGGGGTAGTAGTGCAGATTATTGATCGGGGACCGGCCCTTGTGAGGGGTACGCTTTGTGAGCTTGTCAAATGATTGTTTTTAATGTTTTTTTAATAAGGCAATTTAAAAAGGCCCTGAGCCCTAGACATTTTTAAGGATTTCATCAAAAATGTAGTAGGTAGTAGGTGGTGATGGTGGTGGTGGTCGTGGTAGTAGCGCGTAGCAGTAGCAGTAGCAAGTAGCAAGTAGCAAGTAGCCAGTAGCCAGCAGCCAGCAGCCAGCAGCCAGCAGCAAGTAGCCAGCAGCCAGCAGCCAGCAGCCAGCACCAGCAGCCAGCAGCCAGCAGCAGCAGCAGCCAGCAGCAGCAGCAGCCAGCAGCAGCACCAGCAGCAGCAGCAGCCAGCAGCAGGCAGCAGCAGCAGGCAGCAGCAGCTGGCAGCAGCAGCTGGCAGCAGCAGCTGGCAGCAG